CTAGCTTCAAAATGATAGGATCAAATTCACACATAGCAATATTAACTTTAAATGAGCTAAATACCCCAGTCAAAAGACACAGACTGGCAAATTGGATAGAGTCAAGACCCATAGGTGTGCTATATTCAGGAAACCCATCTCACATGCAAAGACACACGTAGGCTCAAAATAAAGGGATGGAGGAAGATTGACCAGGCTAATGGAGAGCAAAAAAAGCAGGAGTTGCAATCCTAGTCTTTGATAAAACAGACTTGAAACCAGCAAAGATCAAAAGAAACAAAGAATGGCATTACATAATGGTAAAAGGAACAATGAAACAAGAAGAGCTAACTATCCTAAATATATATGCAGCCAATAGAGGAGTACCCAGATACGTAAAGCAAGTTCTTAATGACCTATAAAACTACTTAGACTCCAAACAATAATAGTGGGAGACTTTAACACCCCATTGTCAATATTAGACAGATCAACGAGATAGAAAATTAACAAGGATATCCAGGACTTGAACTCAGATCAAGACCAAGTGGATCTAATAGATATCTACAGAACTCCTCACCCCAAATCCACAGAATATACATTCTTCTCAGCACCACATTGTGCGTATTCTAAAATTGACCACATAATTGGAAGTAAAACACCCCTCAGCAAATGCAAAAGAACAGAAATCATAACAGTCTCTCCAACCACAGTGCAATCAAATTAGAACTCAGAATTTAAAAACTCACTCAAACTGCACAACTACATGGAAACTGAACAACCTGCTCCTGAATGACTACTGGATAAATAATGAAATGAAGACAGAAATAAAGATGTTATTTGAAACAATGAGAATGAAGACACAACATACCAGAATCTCTAGGATACATTTAAAGCAGTGTCTAGAGGGAATTCTATAGTACTAAACGCCCACATGAGAAGTGAGGAAAGATCTAAAATTGACACCTTAACATCATGATTAAAAGAACTAGAGGAGCAAGATCAAACAAATTCAAAAGCTAGCAGAAGACAAGAAATAACTAAGATCAGAGCAGAACTGAAGGAAATAGAGACACAAAAAGCTCTCCAAAACATCAGTAAATCCAGGAACTGGTTTTTTGAAAGATCAACAAAATAAATAGACTGCTAGTCAGATTAATAAAGAAGAAAAGAGAAAAATCAAATAGATGTAATAAAAAATGATAAAGAAAATATCACCACTGAGCCCACAGAAATACAAACTACCATCAGAGATTACTACAGACAACTCTATGCACATAAACCAGTACATCTAGAAGAAACAGATAAATTCCTGGACACTTACACCTTCCCAAGACTGAACGAGGAAGAAGTTGAATCCCTGAATAAACCAATAACAAGGGCTGAAGCTGAGGCAGCAATTAATAGCCTACCAACCAAAAAAAGTCCAGGACCAGACGAGTTGACAGCCAGATTCTACCAGAGGTACCAAAAAGAGCTGGTACCATTTCTTCTGAACGTATTCGAAATAATACAAAAAGAGGGAATCCTCCCTAACTCATTTTATGAGACCAACATCATCCTGATACCAAAACCTGGCAGAGACATAAATAAAAAAGAAAATTTCAGGCCAATATCCATGATGAACATTGATGTAAAAATCATCAATAAAATAATGACAAACCAAATCTAACAGCACATCAAAAAGCTTATCCATCACGATGAAGTGAGCTTCATCCTGAGGATGCAAGGCTGGTTCAAGATACACAAGTCTATAAACGTAATCCATCACATAAACAGAACCAAAGACAAAAACCACATGATTATCTCAATAGATGCAGAGAAGGCCTAATTCATAAGCCCTTTATCCTAAAAAAAAAAAAAAAAAAAAAAAAAAAAAAAAACCTCTCAATAAACATGGTACTGATGGAATCTATCTCAAAATAAGAGCTATTTATGACAAACCCACAGCCAATATACTGAATGGACATAAACTGGAAGTATTCCCTTTGAAAACTGGCGCAATAAATAAACCAATAACAAGGGCTGAAGACAAGGATGCCCTCTCTCTCCACTCCTATTCAATATAGTATTGGAAGTTCTAGCGGGAGCAGTCAGGCAAGAAACAGAAATAAAGGATATTCAACTTGGAAAAGAGGAAGTCAAATTGTCTCTATTTGCAGATGACATGATTATATATTTAGAAGACCCCATTGTCTCAGCCCAAAATCTCCCTAAGATGGTAAGCAACTTCAGCAGTCTCAGGATACAAAATCAGTGTGCAAAAATCACAAGCATTCCTATACACCAATAACACATAAACAGAGAGCCAACTCATGAGTGAACTCCAATTCACAGTTGCTGCAAAGAGAATAAAATACCTAGGAATACAACTAACAAGGGATGTGAAGGACCTCTTTCTTCAAGGAGAACTACAAACCACTGCTCAGGGTAATAAGAGAGGACACACACAGATGGAAAAACATTCTATGCTCATGGTTAGGAAGAATGAATATCGTGAAAATGGCCATACTGCCCAAAGTAATTTATAGATTCAATAGTATCCCCATCAAGCTACCATTGACTTTCTTCACAGAATTGGAAAAAACACCTTAAACTTCATATGAAACCAAAAAAGAGCCCACATAGCCAAGACAATGCTAAGCAATAAAACAAAGCTGGAGGCATCATGCTGCCTGACTTCAAACTATACTACAAGGCTGCAGTAATCAAAACACCATGGTACTGGTATCAAAACAGATACACACCAATGGAACAGAACAGAGGCCTCAGAAATAATGCCACACATCTACAACCATCTGATCTCTGACAAACCAGACAAAAACAAGCAACGGGGAAAGGATTCCCTATTTAATAAACAGTGTTGGGAAAACTGGCTAGTCATGTGCAGAAAGTTGAAACTAGATCCCTTCCTTGCACCTTATACAAAAATTAAATCCAGATCGATTAAAGATTTAAACATAAGACCTAAAACCATAAACACCCCTGAAGAAAACCTAGGCAATACCATTCAGGACATAGGCATGAGCGAGGACTTCATGACTAAAACACTGAAAGCAATGGCAACAAAAGTCAAAATAGAGAAATGGGATCTAATAAAACTTAAGAGCTTCTGCACAGCAAAAGAAACTATCATTAGAGTGAACTGGCAACCAACAGAATGGGAAAGAATTTTTGCAATCTATCTATTTGACAAAGAGGTAATATCCAGAATCTACAAAGAACTTAAACAAATTTACAGGCGAAAAACAACCCCATCAAAAAGTGGGTGAAGGATGTGAACAAACACTTCTCAAAAGAAGACATTTATGCAGCCAACAAACATAGGAAAAAAATCTCAGTCACTGGTCATTAGGGATACAAATCAAAATCACATTGAAATACCATCTCACACCAGTTAGAATGGTAATCATTCAAAAATCAGGAGACAACAGATGCTGGAGAGGATTTGGAGACATAGAAATGCTTTTACACTGTTGGTGGGAGCGTAAATTAGTTCAACCATTGTGGAAGACAGTGTGGTGATTCCTCAAGGATCTAGAAATAGAAATACTGTTTGACTCAACAAGCCCGTTACTGGGTTTACACCCAAAAGATTATAAATCATTCTATTACAAAGACACATGCACACATATGTTTATTGCAGCACTGTTCACAATAGCAAAGACTTGGAACCAACCCAAATGCCCATCAATGATAGACTGGCTAAAGAAAATGGGGCACACATACACCATGGAATACTATGCAGCCATAAAAAAAGAGTAAGTTCATGTCCTTTGCAGGGACATTGATGAAGCTGGAAACCATCATTCCCAGCAAACTGACACAGGAACAGAAAACCAAACACAGCATGTTCTCACTCATAAGTGAGTGTTGAAAAATGAGAACACATGGACACAGAGAGGGGAACATCACACACCAAAGCCTGTCAGAGGTGGGGTAGGGGAGGGATAACAAGATGTGGGGGAATTGGGGAGGATAGCATTAGTAGAAATAACTAATGTATATGACAGGGTGATGGCAAACCACCACAGCACATGTATACCTATGTAACAAACCTGCACATATACCCCAGTACTTAAAAAAACAAAAAGAGGGACAAACTAATTTTCTGTTCTGTTATAATTTAATGTTTCTGAATATTTAAAAAATTTTGCCAATGAAAGCAACTCTCAGGTGTGGTTAATCTTATAATTGCATAAATAAGGGAAAAGATGTTTATTTATAAACTATTAAAGGATTGGTGTTTATACGTTTATTTCGTATATGGATCAAAAGGAAAATTAAATTTGCATGTGATAAAATAATATAAATAGGAAAAATAACTTATTCAGAATTCACATTTGTACTGTAAATCCATGTTTTTGTATGATTTTTAAACTCCTAAAGATCACAGTAATCTTTTCAATAAGGGCTTTATGAAAATATTTAAAAATGGAGCAGAGGCGGGAGTGCAGTGGCTCACGCCTATAATCCCAGCACTTTGGGAGGCTGAGGTGGGCGGATCACTTGAAGTTGGGTGTTTGAGACCAGCCTGACCAACATAGAGAAACCTCATCTCTACTAAAAAAAAAAAAAAAATTAGCTGGGCATGGTGGCACATTTCTGTAATCCCAGCTACTCGGGAGGCTGAGGCAGGAGAATCACTTGAACCTTGGAGGCAGAGGTTGCTGTGAGCCGAGATCACACCATTGCATTCCAGTCTGGGTAACAATAGTGAAACTCTGTCTTTTAAAAAAAAAAAAATGGAACAGAGAAATTGAATTCAAGTTATTAAGTTACCGAATACATTCTTATATAGGCACAAGATGGCTTATATTTATACTTTCAAAAAGACTATGGAATTTTCACTTAACTGTTCTACTTTGTAAACATTTGATGTTAATGTTTTTCACCAAAAATTTAGATGTAGTGTTTGTAGCTATTTCTTGGTGAATAGTTATTTTTAAATTGGAAAAATAATCTTCGTCAGGAGAAAACGAAATAATGATTCACAAAGAAATATGTTGATTTTTTTCTTTCAGACCTGAAGATTTTCGGCTATAAGAGAACAAGAATTTCAGAAAATCACAGTGAAGTGATTGAAACTTTCTTTTGATGAGTTTCTCTAACCTTCAGGATGGAGTAAAACAGCTGCTACAGTTCAGCACCTATTATATGTACCCAATGTTTGTGGGGAAAGTTCAGGAAGGTGTATTCCTTCAATAGGAAATTGTATTCAAATATACTATTTTATAGAATTGTTTCTACATATTCTGATTTGAATGTTATAGTTGATAAAAATAAAATCACTTACATGGTTGACTATTTAGTCTTGCATTTAATGGCAAAAAACAGATCCTGTGTATAGAATTGCAGTTATACATTCCAAAAATGCCTCTTCATGCAGATTTTTCACAAGTTCCAGGTCACCATTCTTGCCCCCTGTGAACAAGCCTTTCCTTCACTTTTCATTTCTGTGGCTTTTTTATCTAACCTGTCATCCATCTAAATTCATACTTGCAGCTTCCTAGGATAAAGTTTGCCCTGAAATATTTATAAACTGTTATCTTTTTCTGTGTCCCATATATCCTGTTGGCCCCTCATGACACCAAAATAAATAATGCCTGTCTACTCGTTAGAAATCTCTCTTCCCTGCCTGTGATTGTTTGTAGACTTTCCATGCTGTTTTTCCATGTCTATCTTTTGGCTTCCATGCATCTCTGTTCTGGCACTTAGGGGTGCTAGGATGACTACTGCTTATAAAATATCCGCTCTAGAAATTAAGATACTGGATTTGGGCATTTTATGGTGGTATTTTTTTTCTCCTGCCCTAGCCAATCATGGAATGAATTTCAGACCAACTTCCCCATTCATTCAGCAAACATACTGAGTACTGCTATATGCCAAGCACAGTGCTAGGTCCTGGGAAAACCGAAATCACACAAGTCACCCCCAACACTTCTTTGTCCCATCAAAGAGTCTATTGTAGAATGGGATGCAAGTGTAGACAGATTTGTAAACAAGTAAAACTGGTTGTCAAAAGTGCTGATATAACTGTGAATTATGATGTAAACATGTTTAATAACTGCATTAAATAGGGCATATTGCTAGTAAGCATCTGCTATGTGCCAGGCATAACCACCCTATATGAAGCATTCAGTACTACATACTGTAATGGAGGTGACAGACCTCCAAGTCCAAGCCTGGACATTATAGCCTTGGTGACCTGCACGTACACCTCTGGATGGTCCCCAGGAGCCAGAAAGTCTGAAGTAACCAAATGACCACAAAGAGAAGTGAAACAACTGGTTTCTGCCTCAACTGATTGCTCTCCCTCTACAAACTTCAACCGTTGTTCCTGCTCAGCCTTGCAGAATTTCACCCCTGGACATTGGGTTTCTTGAGACCCCCACCCCTATAACTATGTAATTTACCTCACCCTCCCCTCTGCTTGCAGCCGATTACCCCCACCCTTATGATCATGCCTATTTGTCATAGATAACCCCTACGCTTGTGACCATGCATCCCATGACACCCTTCCCCTACCTAAAATAGATTACCACCTCTAGCTGACCACTTGCCCCAACCTATAATATCAACTCCTCTCCCACCACCTTTGGCTTAGTCTTTTTTCGGACTCAGCCCGGTCGCATCTGGTGAATAAACAGCCATGTTGCTCATACAAAGCCTACCTAGTAGTCGCTTTATGTGAGCAACGTGCATGACATTTGGTGCCAACACCCAGAACGGGGGAACTCCTATGGGAGACCAAACCCCCTGTCCCTACTCCTTGTGCTCCCTCTGTGAAGAGACCTACCTACAACCTAGGCTCATCAGACCAGCCTACGGATATGCTCACCATCCTTAGATCAGGTAAGCGGTTTGCCTCAACTCTTCTCTTTAGCCCTTCCTTCTCCTTTCAGTTTCATTTTCCTCTTCCTTTCAGTGGAGACAAGAAAGGACTTTCCATGAGGTTCATGACCGGAAAAAATCCTACGTAAGGCACGGAACTGGGAAGACGATCTTCCCTCGGTGACTGATCATTGCAGAGATGTCTGCTTTGATCACTCACTCGACTCGTTTTCTTCAGTGACTGATCATTGTGGAGACATCTGCACTGGCCATTCACTCATACTCATAGGGTGATGGATCAATGCAGGGGATGTCCCCTTTGACTGATTCACCCCAGGTACAGACCAAGGTTGTACACCTGGGACACCTGCCAAACTGCTGGGTCGCGCACTTAACTTTCCTTGTCTCTGCCACTCTTCTTAAACTATGGGCAACCTCCCTCCCTCCATTCCTCCCTCCTCTCTCATAGCCTCTGTTATAAAAAAAACTTCAAACCTCTCCAGCTATCACCTTACCTAAAACCTAAGCATCTTATTTTCCTCTGCAATACCACTTGGCCAGTGTCAGTTGGACAATGTCTCTAAACGGCCAGGAAACGGTACCTTTGATTTTTCTATCCTGCTGGATCTAGACAACTTTTGTCGTAAAATGGGCAAATGGTCTGAAGTCCCCTACATCCAGGCATTTTTCACTTTGCTCCCTTCTCAGCCTCTGCTCCCAATGTGACCCCTCTTAAATTCTCTTTCTTTCTCTCCCACCCGTGCCCCCTGTCCCTACTGCCAATGCAGATTCTTCACTCAATAGACCCTTCTGACCTTTCCCTTCGCCCTCAGGCTGCTCCTTACCAGGCCTAACCGAACCCTAATCTCCCCATTGCCCCATCCCCTCCCTCTTATACCTCCTGAAAAACTAGCTCACCCTCCCCCACCCAACAGTTTCCCCTTCAAGCGGTGGCTGGAGCCAGGGCATAGGGTGCGTGTTCCTTTCTCTCTAACTGATCTGTCCCAAATTGGTCAGCACTTGGGATCTTTCTAATCAGATTCCACTAAATATATCCAAGAGATCCAGTATCTAACAGTCCTAAAATTTAACCTAGAATGACTTAAATGTCATTCTAACCTCTACTCTTTCTCCAGATGAATGAAATAATGTTTATACTCTAGTTCAGTCTTATGCTGACACCCGCAGGCACCATGAGCCAGCCCTCCAAGAGTGTGTCAGGGCAGGTACCTAGGGAAGAACCCCAGTGGCAATACCAGGTGGGCTTGCCTGACATCGCCAAGCATGACTATATGATCTCTTCTTTAGTTGAGGGACTTAAGCAGGCAGCTTACAAAGCCATTAATTATGACAAGCTTAAAGAAACAACCCAGGGCAAACATGAAACTCCTGCCCAATTATGGCCCACCTGGCAGAAACTTAGATGCTTCACAGCGCTAGATGCAGAGGGGCCAGAGGGTCACCTTATTCTCAATATGCATTTTATTACCCAATCTGCCCCAGACGTTAGGAAAAAAACCTTCAAAAACTAGACTCAGGCCCTCAAACTCCACGACAGGAATTAATCAACCTCGCCTTCAAGGTGTTTAATAGGGAGGAAGCAGCCTAGTGGCAACATAATTCCGAACTGCAATTGCTTCCCTCCGTGGTAAGACAAACCCCAGCCCTGTTTCAGGGACAAGAAACTTCCAGGCACCGAGGCTACTGCAGTCGGGTGCTCCATCAAGCCATCATCCTCCAGGGCCTTGCTTCAAATGCCAGAAAACTGGCTACTGGGCCAGGGAGTGCCCGCAGCCTGGGGCTCCATCCTGCTTCAAATGCCAAAAGCTTGGACTCTGGGCTAATGAATGCTCAGAGCCCAAGGCCTCCTCTAAGGCGTGTCCTGTCTGTGGGGAACTCCACTGAAAATCGGACCCTCTGGCTCCTATTACAGCCACTCCCAAGGTTCCTGGAGTTCAAACCCAGTATTCTCCAGCTAACTCCTTTCCAGAACTTCTCAGCTTAGCAACTGAAGGTGGACACTGCCCGACTGCTTCAGAAACTCCCCGGACCGTCACGGACGCTGAGCTTTGGGTAACTCTTGCATGGAGGGTAAGTCCATCCCCTTTGTACATGTGGGGGACACCCACTCCACATTACCTTATTACCTTCTTTTCAAGGGCCTGTTTCCTTAGCCCGTAAACAGTTGTGGGAATTGACAGCCAGACTTCAAAACCTCTCAGAACCCCCAACTCTGGTGTCAGCTTGGCCAACACTCCTTTACCCACTCCTTTCTAGTCATCCCACATGCCCCGTTCCCTTATTAGGGTGAGATATTTTAACTAAATTTTCTGCTCCCCTGACTATTCCAGTACTACAGCCACATCTCACAGCTGCCCTCTTACCTGACCCAAAGCCACCGCACAGCCTCCCGTCACGTCTCCTCACCTCAACCCACAGGTATGGGACACGTCTACTCCATCCTCAGCAACTGAGCAGGCACCTCTCACTATCCCCTAAAACCCGATCACCCCTATCCTGCCCAGCACCAACACCAACAAGCTCTAAAAGAACTAAAACCTGTTATCACCCACTTACTACAACGTGGTCTCCTAAAGCCTACTAACTCTCCTTACAACTCTCCTATCCTGCCTGTCCAGAAACCAGACAAATCTTACCAGCTGGTCCAAGACCTTTGCTTTATCAATCAAATTGTCCTTCCTCTCCATCTTGTAGTGCCAAACCCATATACTCTCCTGTTTTCAGTTCCTCCCTCCACTACCCATTCTGTATTCGATCTCAAAGATGTCCTTTTTACCATCCCCTTCCACCCCTCCTCCCACCCTCTATTTGCCTTCACTTGGACTGACCCTGACACACACCAGTCACAACTCACCTGCACTGTCCTGCCTCAGGGCTTCAGGGACAGCTCACACTACTTCAGTCAGGCCCTCGATCACAGCCTCAACTTCTCACCTTATTTAATATGTGAATGACGTCCTCCTGTACAGCCCCTCTTATGAAGCTTCTCAGCAACGATACTCTCCTTCAGCACCTCATCTTAAAGGGAGATCGCATGTGTCCTTCTAAGGCCCACATTTCTTTTCCATCTGTCACCTATCTGGCCATCATCCTCCAACAGAACACCCATGCTGTCCCTACCAACCATATCCAGTTAATCTCAACCCCAACTCCCTCTACCAAACAGCAGCTCCTCTCTTTCCTAGGTGTAGGCGGATACTTTCACCTTTGGATACCAGGTTTTACCATTCTAACCAAACCTCTATAGAAGCTCACCAAGGGAAACTATCCAACCCCATAGATTCTAAATCCTGTCCTCACTCCTCCTTTCACTCTTTAAACACAGCTCTAGAAACTGCTCCCACACCAGCTCTCCTAAACTCATCTTCCCTTTTCCTCAAACACTGCTGAAATTCGGGATCGTGCAGTTGGAGTTCTTACGCAAGAGCCAGGTCCGTGTCCTGTTGTCCTCC